GAGGGGGGTGATGGGGGGGGGGGCGTGTGTCTACTGCCGTGTTGTCCTTGTCCTTTGTGGGTTCCCTGCCCGAAAGGCCACCCAAAAGGGGGTATCCCCGTGAGATGCGCACAGGACCCTCACCCAGGTGGGGTGGGGGGGGTGGGGCTCAGTCTGGCCCGGACACCCCTCTGAAACTCTCCCTCCTTTGTCCCAACAAGGTCCAAAGGGATGTCACCTCCCTCCCTCGGGTCTTGTTCCGCATCCGCGACTTTTTGACGGTGGCGGAGCCGCAGCAGAGACCTGGTGAACTCCGTGCAGTGATGGGAGGTGCCCCGGCGGGAGAGGTTTGGGCGGCTCCCCCGGGAGCTGAGCAGTTTCCCCAGCACTCCCTGGGAGGAGGACGAGGAAGAGGGAGATGTTATACAGAGGTTTAGAGGCAGTACAAAAATCTTCTGGTTGATCTTTTATTTTATGGTGATTGGTTTTCTTTTTTAAGTAGACATCCAAACCATCCCACCACACCTCTGCTCCTCCAAAGGAGCGTTGGACCCGAAAAACAAACTCTTGTTCCGAGTGTCTGCTTTTGCATTTTGGTGGCTCCCGACTGTTTACTGAAGATGAGAATACGGTCTTTATTTGTTTTATTTTTATAGCTAAACCAAACCTGGCTGAAAACCTACTTTTATTTGTAAGTGTGTGTGTGTGTGTGTATATATATATATATATATATATATATATATGTCAATATATCAATCAGAGGTAGATGTTGCCCAAGATTTTCCTTACCCTCAGCGCTGCCGTTGTGATCTGTCGGGAGGGTGATAGGAACTGAGCGATCTGTTGAGCGCCGCGTTTTTGGCATGGAGAAGGAGAGATGGTTCCCCTTGCCAGGAGCTCTGCCCGCAGCGCTGGGGGTTAAACGTCTCCTGCAAAGGTCCGGGCTCCAAACGTCCCGCGGGCCCTGAGCGGCAGAGAGGAGCAGAGGTTAGGTAGCGAGAGCTAAAGCCTGTCTTTCATTTCATTTAATTTCATTTCTATTTTACGACACATCGAGGCAGTGCTGGGGCAGGGGGGAGCAAGGGGAGACATCAAACACCGTCGGGGTAATTGCATTCACATTGCAGGCAGGCCCGCTCCAGCCCGTGCGGGAGGCGTCAGGGCTGCGGTGGGAGCGCCCGTCCCGGCATCGCCGTGGCTCACTGGAGGCCCTTGTCACACTCGCAAACACGTTTTCGGCCCCAAATGTAGCCCTCCGTCTGGTGATTCCCCGCGGAGCCCGGCCCCAAATCCCCGCTCCTCCCTGCCCCCTGCGTGGCAGGCGGCCGCGCTTTGCACCCGCGTCGAGTAAACCCTGTCTAAGGCTCAGGAGCCGTCGGAGGTGGGGACGGCGGGGATATTCCACGGGCATCCCACGCCGGTGATGGGCACGGACTGGGAGCCAGGACGGCTCAGCAGGAGGGACCCCACCTGCAGCGGCGCCAGGGCCGCAGGCCACAGCAACTCCCGGCGCTGCGCCGGATCTGGAGGTCTCCAAAGCCTCGGAGAAAACAATGTCCCTGGGAAATAACAGAGCCAGAGATGGAAAATATAGGGGCCCACACCTGTAGTCCAAAGCCGGTCTCACAGCTGCCTCTGCCGAAAACACGGGGAAATCCCTTCTGACCCGGAGGCAGGCAGGCAGGAGCTTGCTGCCCAGGGAAAGCCTCTCCGCTCAGCAGCCTGCAAAAAAATTAAAGGGTTTCCGTGCCACAAAGAGATGGCTGTGGGAGAGAAGGCGGTGGGAGAGTGAGAGGTCCTGCCTCGCCGCGGCCACCCTGAGCCCCTCCGGAGACGGCCCGGGAGCCGCGCCGGCACGGCCCTTGCCCGACGGGAGGGTTAGCCCGGGGTGATGGCAGTGCCCTCGGCACAAGGGGACACCCCTCCCTGCGTTACCCCCGGGCAAACGACACCGAAAGGTGCTAGGGCAGGGGCCCAGGATGTCTTTCTGACAATAAATTACGAAAATACCGTCACTGTCTGCTTATTCTGCTCCCGACACGGAGTCCTGCAGGGAGACATGCAACAAACACGCCCTTTTTTCCCTCATCATCAAAACAGGCACAAAGAGTATTAAGTGTTAGCAGTCATGTCCCTATAGCAATATAAAAGCTTAAAGAAATACCGCATACACACAGACATGTATGTACAAGTGTTGTATTTGCAGGTATAGAATTACACTCATCCTGATTTTGTGTTTCAGGAATATGTCTGAGTATACATGCTTTTTCACAAACAGAGTTCAGCATTATTGCACACCAAACAGTTATACGTTGTGTTGAAGAAATATGGAGGGGGAAAAAAGCAAGAATAAATTTACTCTTATTGATTTTACTACACTATTTCTAAGTGGAAAGCAAATAATATTATGTAAGTTTCATGACCACACTGTAGGAACACTTTATAAAATATGGGTAGGGTATATACACATATCGTTTGTACATTGTATATGAAATGTATAGAAGTAACCAGGGTCCTCATTTTTCTCTTTATTCCAGAAAGCACACAATGTATTTTCTGGGTCTGTCAGTCAAACAGAGCTGACAGTTTATGGATGCTTAAGACATACCATTCAAATATAGCAAAGACATACCCAGCAACGCGCACCAAGATGCACAGATGATAAAAGCAATGTTCGTTACCATCACTCCTGTGCAACAAGTGACCAATTGCCCTTTCGGCCGGTTTACGATTCACCAAATCGCTCCTGGGTCTCTGCCCGGGCAAGACCGACAGCCGCACATGCCCCTATACATTCCTGCTTTCCAGAGTCCATTTCAGAGCTCTGGCAGTTTGCATCTTTCTGGACTCTTTGGAACTGGAATTATTACTTTATTTTCCTTTCTTTCTTTCTTTCTTTCTTTCTTTCTTTCTTTCTTTCTTTCTTTCTTTCTTTCTTTCTTTCTTTCTTTCTTTCTTTCTTTCTTTCTTTCTTTCTTTCTTTCT